CTCTCCCAATTGTGCTGCTATTCTCAGTTTAGATGAAGGTTTACAGAACAAAAAAGTTTCTCATTAAACAGTTAGTACACATAGCCCTATGACAATGGTTAACAACCTCACAACACATCAACACTATCCTTACTCAACTTTGGGTTCCCATCACCATCTTTCCTGTCCCCTTCTGCCTTCTAGCCCTTGTCCCTGGACTGCTGTGCCTCATTAGTCCCATTTGGTTTTATGGGCTGTCCATTCCCCGGCTGGATGAACCTCAGAAGTGACTTCACCACTGAGCTAAAAGGTGTCTGGGGGCCATACTCTTGGGGTTTCTCCAGTCTACATGTAGAAATTTTTGAAATGGTGTGTCTTTGGCTGTGTATATTTTCACCAAAAAAGAAAAACTGTCCTCCAAGGTCGAGAAGGGAGAGTTTTGGCATGTTCTGGGTTTGTTAACCAATGTGATAAAACAATATGCATACTGACTGTGTAATGAGAAACTATTTGTTCTGTAAACCTTCACTAAAGTACAATAAAAAAATTTAAAAAAGGAGATTTTAGAATCCGTGGTTTCAAATAAAATCATATCTTACGCATCCTTGCTTCTGCCATAACATCTAGCACAGTGCCTTGTTATTCTCTGAGTCTCAGTTTCTTTTCTGAGGTTTCATAGGATTTCTGTGAATACTAAAATACATTATTTAAATGTTGTATAGTGTCTCAATTCTGGTACAGTAAGTACTCAATAAATGTTGGCTGTATGATTGTTGTTACTAATATTATTTGAAGGAATAAATGGATGGAGCAAGTCTTGTTAGCTCTATCTTCAAAATGTCTTTGGAACTGCACTTCATCTCACCACATCTGATAACACCTCCCTGCTCCCCACCATGGTCATCTTCTGTTGATACTATCACATAGTTCACCTGTTCTCCCTGGTTCCTTTCCTGCCCTCTACATGTGTTTTTTCCTCAGCAGCCAGCATGATCCTTTTAAAACATAAATCCAATCATATTACTTCTCAGCTCAAAACCCTCCAATGGATTCCCAATCTACTAATAAAAATCCAAACTCCCTATGAGGCCAAAAAGGCCTAATGTGATTTGACCTGTCTCTCTCATCAAATTCATGTCCTGTCACTTCCCCCCTCCACCTCACTCACAATGATGCAACCTCAATGGTTCTCTTATCCTTCTTTATAGCTTTTTTGCCTTTGCCAGCGTTTGTATCACAAGGCATTGCCATTGGCACAGATCCTGCTCCCTCACTTCATTCAGGTGAACGAATGCACTCAACTGTTACCTCCTTAAGAGTAAAAAAAATAAAAATAAAATAAAAAGAGTAACCCTCATATCTAAAATACCAGCCATTACTCTGTTACACAATTTTATTTTTTTTGGTTAATGCACTTGGCTGCTAACCGAAAGGTTGGGGGTTCGAGTTCACCCAGAGGTGACTTGGAAGAAAGGCCTCGTGCTCTAGTTCCAAAAAATCCGCCATTGAAAGCCCCATGGAGCATAGTTCTACTTTAACACACATGCGGGTGCCATGAGTCAGAGTTGACTCGATAGGAACTTGTTTTTTAATACTACCTGAATGCATATATATGTATTTACTTAAATTGACTTTATTGTCATTCTCCTCCACTAGAATTGTAACCTCCATGAGGAGAGGTTCACTGCTCTGTCCCAGCATCTAGAACAATGCCTGACACACAGTAGGTGTTCAATAATACTTGTTGGTGATTTTGAATTCCTTGGACTTTAAGAACAGAGGCAGAACTTGCTGACCTAGAGGGGGTGGGATGGGGATGACCTATTTGTTCAGACACTCCTAATTATTCATTTAGGTGAAAATCTGGCAGATGATGATGTCAGGTGGACTTTCCCTAATGAATTATGTTACTTCTCCTGGGATGACTGTTGATACAGCGGAGAGAGCCTCACCTTGCAGCCTCCTGGGATCTTTAGCCTCTCCTTTGTCCCTCTACCCCGGGACCTACTTGGCGGCCAGGTCTGGAATAGCGCACTTTGCTGAAATACTCAGAGGGGAAGCCACAGACCTATCCTGACACTGCCCTCCCCAGCTTCATGGCATCCAACTGAAGAAGCTCCAAGGCTGCAGCGCAAGAGTAGGGTGATACAATGAAGGGAAAAACTTCAGATGCACGACACCTGAATTCCAGGTGATTAGGGGAAGCCATCTCCCCTCTCTGGGCCTCAGTTTGTCCTTAACTGTACCCTAAGTGGGTTGGATTGAATGTATATTTAAAGTTCTTTCCAGCAGTGACTTTCTATAGTTACAGGAGCTTTGCGTTTGAGGTGAATTGGACAAGAGTGTTTGATGGTGGGGCAGCAGGGGAGAGAAACTCAACATGGAGGGGATTGAACTGAGGTTGAGTGGTAGGAGCTCCGCATGGCCAGCAGGTGGAGCCATTGCTGCATCAGGATGCTCAGGCTAAAGGGGGAAAGTTTGATTTTGAGAGCAAATGGGCCTTCAGGACAAGCTATGCCCATCATGGAGAGACCACCCCCCACTTCCTCCTAAAGCCCACACACACCCCTGATGAACTCAGGTTAAAATACTGTTATGTTGCTAGGCCTGAGGCTGGAGGCTTTTTAAAGACCAGTTAGCTGCCTTTTCTCCTCTTGCCATGTTTCCGGGGAGTGGGGGTTTTTACCTTGTACCCCTTATCCCACCCCTAATCCTTGCCACCCCTAAATGGGCCAGACCCTCATCTGGTCACTTCCATGGAAAGATGTGTGACGAGACAGGCCAATATCACTTTTTCACTTTTCCAATTATCACCTTCTATCTCTCCAG